TTACTAGCTAGGGCCAATCTATGGGCAAAAAATGAGCAAAATCGATTTTTCGACTTGTGCCGTTGTTTGGTCCATAATTATGGGCACTGGCTCTTAATTTAGAAACATACTTTTCAGTTAAATCATGTTTAACATATTCAACTTTACCCCCTTCTATATCGATAGATTTTCAATTTACGCTTTCGTCAGCGAAAATAAACTTTGAACTGTGAGCCTTTCGACCAAAGGTGAAAATTCAAAGAGAGAAAATATTCCCCGAGAAAATGGACAGAGTCGTTTTCTAGCGGAAGTAAAAGTTTCTTATTGATTGACAGCTAATTAATGATTTCCCAAATTTTGTCTTCGCCGGATGGGGACCGGCACTTTGAAAAGCTACAACTCAAAGGCAATTTGTCTGATTTCAGTCAAATTTGGTCAGTTGAAATGGTAACCTGTTCATGTTATCGCAGCATAGTTACCAGGCAAAACGTTTTGTAACTTCACTGTTCCTTTAATAATTAAAATTTAACTACTGACAAACTTCCTTTCCTTCACTCTGGCTGGCAAACAGGTCTGCTTTGTTTATTTTGTAAAAGAATATAAGCCCCCCAAAAATGACATGAAAACACAGGAGTGAAAGTGGATCTGATCAAATGGGTTGATTCTACACAATCAGGTGGTTTGCCTTTATCTTTTAAGCGCCCACAATCACTAATTCGAACAGCCGATGCTTCACAGAATTCCCTATTTTAAAATAGGAACTAAGAAAAAATGCCATTAAAAATGACTAACTAAAAGTCGTTTTAGTCCTAACGTTGTTTCTAAAAAACCCACGCGCTTTATGTAACAGATACGAGCGTTTCTAAGGAGAAGTAAAATTTGTCCCTTTGAAAAAAAAAAAAAATGTTCGAATTTGCATTGTTCATGGAGAAAGTAGTTCCTATTTCTATTGCATTAATTATGGATCATTTGTTCCACAATTTTGTCTCCACATTAATCTCTTTCTTTTTCTAAATCACAAAATAACGTATAAGTATTTAATGCATAAGCTACATACACGGACACAGTAAGATGTTGATCGCGATAACTGAGGCCACTTTTTGAAAAGATTTAAATTTAGAGGCGCCAGCTGGTACTTTACTCAAATAAATATGCATGTACTCATTGAGTATACTATTCAAGACAGACGGGCGGATTTGACTTCCCACGCCAAATAAATATTTATCAAAAAATATAAGTCTTGCTAACAAAGAAGTCCTAAAGGTTTTTCGTTGAAAAGATATTTAAGATTTCTCGAAAATATATTTTCTGTTTTCCAATCCAATATCTGTATAGCCACAATTATGCAATTTTCTACAACGCAGTTATCTTGAGCATCTTTGGTCTAATTCGCCACAGCCGTATGTTAAGTCTAACAGTCGAGCTTCGTTCAAGAAATAAACGCTTCAGTTTAAGACGGAAGAGCTGTCTTGAAAGAAAGATGCTTGCATGGGGCCCTTTGTGTCAGTTTATAACACCAATTAGCAATAGAAGTCGAAAAATCGAGTTCTCCGCTCTCTTCCCTCTCCAGAGGATCCAGACCCTTGTGGATTGGCACAGGGATAGTTTAGCAACTGCGAAAAACCTTTGTGATACTTAATGAGTTCTGCCTACACCCTGCAACTGCTAAAACTACAAATATCCATATTATGAAAAACCTACGTCAAAAAACTTTCCTACGGTTGAAAATCAGACATCAAATGGGAATATTTTATTGTAATTTTTTGCATATAAGAATGTATAACTTACACATGTCGTTTCTCTCTTTTAACGCTCGAAAACAAGAACCAGTCAGAGTGTGACACTAAACCAGCTGCTTGGCAGGTTACGTTGTCCTTCCAAACTGCCAATGATCATCCATGTACTGACATGTTTGAGGAAATAACAAGGTCCATAAAAGGCGTTTCGATTGTTCCTCAGTTACTGTGGTAACAAGCAACTTCCTAACTTTAGTACATTTAGAAGTTTCGCTAGTGATTCCAGATAAACTACAAATAGCTATTGCAGATCGGAATGGCAGCACCAAACTTTACTGGAGATGGACAGCAGAAGACGTTCGAAGACTTAACTTGCTCGTCAGATTCAACTACTGGACTGCACGGCCACTTGATATTTATTTCAGTATTAAACACTTTTCTGTCGGTTACTGCATTTCTTGGGAATGCTCTGATCCTAATTGCTCTTCACAAGGAGTCTTCACTTCAACTGCCGTCCAAACTCTTGCTTCAGAACCTGGCATCAACTGATCTCTGTGTTGGTCTTATTTCAGAGCCTCTCGCTGTTATCTATTTGATGTCTGTAGTAAACAAACATTGGGATATTTGTCCCTTCGCAGAAAGGGCACAGTTTATAACGAGTTATATCTTGTGCGGAGTGTCGGTTGGAACTATGACTGCTATAAGCGTGGACAGACTTCTCGCCCTGTTGCTGGGACTGAGATACAGACAAGTTGTAACTTTAAAGCGAACCTACGTGATCGTTGTTACCTTATGGGTTAATGTAACTGTCATGTCAGCACTACTATTTTGGAATCCCCTGATAAACTTATGGTGTGCTATCATAGCTATATCTCTGTGTCTTATAATCTCGACCTTCTCTTACACAAAGATTTTTTTCACCCTCCGTCAACATCAAAGTCAAGTACAAGGCCACGTTCAACAGCCGAGCCAAAAAAATCAACTGAACATAGGACGATACAAAAAGGCAGTGTCCCGTGCAATATGGCTGCAACTGACGATGGTCGCTTGTTATCTACCTTATTGTGTGGTCGGGGTTGTGGCGGCTTTGGTGACTAATAGGGGACCATCTTTATCTCTTGCTTACACTTGGATGTATGTAATCACTTTAGTTTACTTAAACTCGTCATTAAACCCGATTCTTTACTGTTGGAAGATAGAGGAAGTCAGACAAGCAGTGAAGGACACAATCAGACAAGTACTTTGCCATTGTTTTTCGAGTGAACTCTTGTACACCAATACGATGGAAAGGGTTAATATAAATGATATTTAACGACTAAGATTTAGAAGTGCTCGTTAACATTGCATTAAATTTAAAAGTGGTACTTAATCATCTTAATACACCATAATGAAATGTTTCTCTAGCAATAAGATAGCCATCGAGAAAGTTTACATCATTGTTGTAATTAAATAAAACATTTGTTTCAAATTGTAAGTTTACAACTGTGAATAAAGATAAAAAACAATAAATTGTCATTTTTCTGTGCGGTAAGGTAAGCAGTTAGTAGGTTTTGATATTTGATTTTTCGTTCATATTTCAGAGACGCGCAGAAAGTGCGGAGTTTTTATGAGATGGGTGAGCAATTCTGACACTAAATTAAATACGTTAATTCCCAGTGCACTGAGTAGGGAAAAGTTTGATAGCGTACAGATGGTTACGAAATTAAAAAGAAAATTGTGCGCTTGATTTTTTGCAATAATCGTCTCGAGTTCAGCCATACTCTGGTGTTTCCATGACTCGTCTTTAGTTCAACCCCGCTCCCACCCTTCCCATAATGATTTACTATACATTTATAGCATAAAACAAGGAGTGAAGGATGGTACATAGTTAACATTCACGCAAGAATTGCCCAAAAATTATTTCTGAAGTCTTCACTGAGCCTTAAGCTGAATTTTTTTTGGAACATGCAAATGTTTGCTATTTTGTTTCATAGATGACGCATATTTCTGCAGCTGCGAGGACAAAATGTTTTCATTAGTAACTTGATACCAAAATTAAAATCCTTCAACGGAAATGAATTAAATAAATGTGTCTTTAGAAGAATGGCTATGTGGCTGATAAAAAGGGAAACAGAAATTACATTACGGAAAATGTCTAGGACTTCCTTGTTAGTAAGGCTAGTATTTCTTGGCATAAATGTTTATTTGGCATAGGAAGTTAATTCTGAATAGCATGAGTCATCTTCATCGCGAAAACTGAAATTGTTAGATTAGCAAGAAAAACATGTGCGAGCGATAAATTGAAATGCACAATACTTTTTCAAAAACATTTTTTTGAGAACTGTCTACCCTATTTTACGCTGGTTAAACTGGTTATATTACCCGTGCCATTGGTATAAACGGTGGATGCCGTGAATCATCAGCTGTTTAAATTAGCGATTGGTGGGCGATCAAAAGATCGAGGTGAGCCCCCTTCGTCTGAGTTGAATCGACCCAATTGACGTTCAAAATCAACCGCAAAGTGTTTCGAAGAGGGAAATGCACTCGTTAATTTGGATGTAATAGCCAGATTTAGCACACGCTTGTTCAATAACGGGGTTATCTATGCACGTGCTCTTTGTTTATCAGGGCGGCCTGTTCGGACTGGTGTATGAACTTGCGGGATAAAAGTAGTAGACATTATTTGGTATATTGATTTCTTCTTTCTCGCCTCGGGTTCACTGAACGAGATATATATGTTGCGTATCAGTTCCTTGTTTCTTCTCGCGTGTTAATTTTTCTGGGTTGCATAGCTTGGCTCGCGCGCTTCTTTACCAGTAAAACAGAAATGAAGTTGTATCTGTTGTATATAACGTCTTTTATTTTTTGCCCTGTAGATATTTTGGTTGTCTTTGTTGTCTCGGTTGTTTCCTTACCAGTTTGAGGAGTCTGTATAATTTAGTATCAGTACTGGCGCGCTATTTCGATCTGCGCCGGGCTCACGTTTATAGGACAAAGTACACACACGTCTCTTTGTCCGTGTTTCTATTTGCCTAGTTCCTAGGCCTCAATATTTGGCCGCGGTCAATCGTTTTGGGTCATGTGATCGGGGCGAACAGTGTGGACTAAATTGAGAAAATTTATCTCAATATTTGACTGAGCCGATTTTGTGCCGCGAAAGGGAATTCTCTGGTCATTTCTGGGACGGTCACCGCTAGAGGAAAGCAATTTAAACTCTTCGCTTTAGTTTAATGTTAACGAGTCAAGGTAAACCGCTCATTTGGATCCAAATAGACATTATCAAGTCAGAAGCATCGCCAGTTTCCGAACCTCAGGCAAATTGTGATAACTCAAAATATTTAGGCCTATGAAGGTTTCTATTACATGCAACCGTAGCACTTGATCAAAGAAAACGGAAATATACCAAAATTTCTTAAATTTCCGGTTCAAGAGTAAGCTAGAGTGGCTTTCTAAGTTAATTATTTAACTATAGTTTCAGTGGCGGTACCAGACCTTTAGCTAACGGGGGTGGNGGGGGGGGGGGGGGGGGGGGGGACATTTTGAATTGCTGATGGTACTCTTATGTGAACCTCTTGAACATTCTGGATAATGCATTGACAAAACATCAAAAATGCCGCATTATAACTGGGAATATTGAAAAGCTTTTTGAGTGCAATGCGGAGCCATGTTTTCACAAATTTTAGTGACGTTATTAGGGAAAATCCCTCATTGATTTGATTTGATTTGATTTGATTTGATTTGATAATATCTGATATCATGCGAAGCGCTTTTTCCCACTTTTCATTGGCCAAGAGCCACCACACGGCCTGCAAATAACTGCCTACAGAAATGGTCCGCGCAAAGGTAAAACCTTTTAGGAGTGTTTTGCTGCAAATAATATTCTGCTCACGCGTAATTGTAACCACGCTCTTGGGTGAAAAATGACAGATCGCTTCTCTAAGCTGCCATAGAGTGATTGAAATATGAAAACCTGTCGATCGAATGACAAAACAAAATTATTGAACTCGGTTATCGCAAAATATCGTGATTTGCCACTTTCTCGCAGATGAATTATCTGTATCAGATTTCCGCTTCGGACAATAATTGATCTGCTCGCCACTGACAAATCGCGATATTTTGCTCACTCTCGTCGAATAACTCTCAATATTGCAAGCATAAGCATAAAGAAGCTTATACAGAAGTGGGACAGCCGGACATAAGGAAATAAAAAACCTTGGGTTCTTCTTATGCTCATGGTGATGCCGCTGTTGTGTCTAGTGAGTACATGGTTGAAATAAGCATGAGCGAAAGTCTTTCAGCCAATCAGCAAGAACTTTATGCTTATGCGAATCATATCCTCGCTGAACATGACACCAATATAAGCATAAGTATTATCATAAGAAAGAACGCTTTTGCTTATGCGCATGTTGCAGCCGCCCCACTAGCGCTTAAGTTTCTTATGTTTATGCTTGCGTCCCAAATGAGGACCAGGCTTTAGGTGAATCAAATCCTTCGCTGTCATTGGCTACCCGAGCGGACAAGATGGCTCTGGATTAGCTGCTGTTTTCCGAAAGAAAATGGTGTTCTTAGTGTCATATAATAAATTCTGTATTGACCAAGCTTGTGCATCGAGTCATCTTGAGTAAACAAGCTTGGTCAATAAACCATAGACATATGCTTATCCAGAAGGATTATTTTTTGTTTTGTCGGGGCGTGGGTAGATTAACTACAGGTAACAACTGAAAACCACATTGAAGATATGACTTTCTTAATAAATAATTTATAGTATCTATGTATATATTATAAGTTACTTTGGAGTGACAAGAGCACATAAACCCACCAATCACAACTAACCTTTACATTCCAGCGAAGCGATAGTTCCGTTGTCAAGCTCGTAACCAGCTTCGCAAAGGCAGGCTAAGTCATCTGTCATGTTCCATTCTCCATTACTGAGACACACACCGAATAACTTGACTTTATTAACCGAGTTCACATCTGTACATTTTCCTTCTTGTTCGCTTAGATCTGAGTCATTTGCTGGGGCAACTGTCCTTGGGATTTCCACTAATGTACTGACCCTCTCGGGGCAGTATCTGTAGCTAATGACGACTTTAGTGAACATTATACAGACTCCTTGGTCTAAAAATGCCAGATATATACCACGAGCTCTGGTAACCACAGAACCATAAAATATGCCTGTTTTATATTTTCTCTGAGGAGGTAAAGTGCTCGGCGCTATGACTGCTTCTTTCTGAAACATCCCTTTAGTAGGGTCAGGAAGAGGTTCTTTGGTATTTGTATGCTAGGAATAAAGAGTTAAGTATGTTTTGCAGAATTGACAAGCAACTTTTTTAGGGCAGTTAAGGAGTTCGTAATGTATTTCAATATCCAGCCGTTTAGCATTCTTGCCGTCAATAAAGTCTGTTTGTAACCAGTTTCTTGGTTCCCTTGTGATAATATCACTAATGTCACAAACTCTGTACCTTGGCTTTACAGATGAAGGGTGGATCCACTATAACAGAAAACAAATTTTAAGTTAAATGTTTTTCGGGCACGAAAACTATTAATGACCTTAAATTTAACTCGGATTTTTAATACATAACAAAAGCAAATAAATTATAATATGTTGGACCACATAAATAGCATAACCTTTTAGCCGTCACGTTTTTCTGCTAAAGGGAAATCTTTGTGTTCAGTATTTGCCTCCTTAGCATAGGCTTTTTAGTTTCTGATAAAGCTTAAGCTACAAAAATATCAGCTCTGAATATCGAAAGGGCGTAGCACCGGTTAATTATTCCAACGAGTTTGAGCCCGATGTATTGAATACTGTTTGTGCGACGTGGGTTTAAGGTAAGGTAAGGTAAGGTAAGGTAAATTTATTTTAAGTCGTAAACGTGGAGAGTGGTTGCCCAATCTCCCGAGTCAGGGGCTTGTGCCAAAAAAACGCACGACTATCTACACTAACACTGCTACTTACAATTACTATTTTTACTAAGATAAAATCAAAATTAAAATATAAAATATTCCTAAGAGCATGACTATTTACAATAAAATTACTACTTACAATGGAAGTGCTATATTTGCTAAGATAAATTAAAAACTCTAACTCTAAGGTGAAATCAAAGTTTTGTTTTTGTTGCTGTTGTTAACTCGACATTTTTCAAAGAATGTCCGAGCTTATATGCGCGATGACTTTCGCCACCCAGGAAGTTTCTCCTTAAACATTACACCCAACGAATCAAACATTTCACCAATTACTAAGTTTCACAAGCTCTTTAATGTTTAAAGTTAATTCATATCTAGTATGATGATTTCTCTTCGCAAAGTCGTATATTTATGTTAACGAGTAAAATGTAAACAATGACGTCAGTAAGGATTTAACGAGTAAAGAAGCCTCCACTGTGTTCTGTTCTGTTGCAAAGCACGCAGGAAGCGGTAGAGCACGAAAGAAGTGTAGGGAAAAACACAAGATGTAGTCGAGTGTTTTTCTTTACTTCTTGAGTGTTCTACTACTCCTTGCGTGCTTTACAAGAGAACAGAACACAGTCGAGGTTTCTTTAGTTGTTTTATGGTAAAGAATTCATTAATTTTCCCACGCATTCGGCTGAATTTTCAAACCAAATTTTATTTTCCAAACGAGTAATGTGGCGTCAGCATCATGCATCTGTTCTCTGATAAAGCACGCTAAAATAAGCCAATCACAATCTTTGTTAGAATTGTTCAAATGATTTGATTGGCTAACGAGACAGCAGCTATCAATCACAAACTGAACTTCATTGAGCTAACCTTTCGGTTTCGAGTGGCTTTCGAGAGAAGAACGATCCCTTCAAAGCTCGCTATTTAGCCGTTTAAGTTTTTTTAAAATAAAGATCTAAAGGTTTCTAGTCGAAAGAAATCCGGCCGCATTGTGACTTTATGAAAAAGTGCACTTTTCCAATAAAGTAACGAAATAGGGAGCTCAAAACTTGCAGATGAAAGCGCAAAATGTATTAGGAAGGAGCTACAATTATTTACGACTTGCCGCCGCTTGCGACAAGATTGCTCGAACTAAACG